AAGTCAAAAAAGCCTATGAAAAAGGTACCAGGGGCATCTCATGGGGCCCCCTACTGACCCCGGGCCCTCGGGCAGTGCCTGAGTTTCCAAATGGTCAGTCCGCCCCTGGACTGTGGTCAACAGGACATAAAGCAAGAGAAGACTCCCAAAGAGTAAAAAAGAAAAAAACAGTTCTCACCTTTCCCCATCCCAACCAAGACGAAAAAAAAGGTTTTGGCTAGAGTTTGAATTTAGTTAGTAAATACGGAAAATGAGATGAAAACCATTAATTAACATGGCTATGTTTTCCAGACAAAGAAGTTTAAGAAGACCAGTTCTTCAATCAGTTGGTCAAAAGGATGAACTCCAATGAATCCTATAACAATGTCACCCAGGTATCTGGCCTTCAAAGCCAAGCTTACCTGATAATAAAAGTAATTTTCTTTGTCTTGTCCTTTTTCACCTGGTTTCTTCCTCTACTTTATCTCCAACATCCTAACTGTCTATTTTGCCACCCACCATGTGCGAGAGAAATCCCGCTACATCCTCTTCGCCCACATGCTCGTTAATGACACCCTGTATCTGTCTCTTGGACTTTTGCTTGGAGTGTTGTACAACTTTTTGCGCATCCCAATGCCTATATGCTACTTCCTCATAATCATTACTGCTACCACTTTTCGTGTTACGCCTTACAACTTGGCAGTCATGTCTTTGGAACGCTATCTGGCCATCTGCTTTCCATTGCACTATTTAATGTTATGTACGGCTAAGAGGTCCTACCTGGCCATTGCGATCATGTGGATTGTTGGATTGATCATCCCCAAATTTTGTAGATTTAGCTGTTCTGATTCATTCGGGTGCAAGGAATTTATTCTTTCAAAGCAACCTGTGTAGCCAGGAAGAGTTAATAGCTCTCCCCATACAGAACACATTAAGGTCGTTCACCCACATCAGCAGTTTGGTTCTGGGTTACCCTAATCATTTTCTCTCACCTACGTTCATCAGGTGATGTTGATTGCTAAGAAGACAGAATCCAAATCTTCTGCCTCCAAGGCTGGAAAAACAGTCATGCTCCACGCCTTTCAGCTCCTGCTGAGCGTTGTCTCTTTAACTTCCATGGTTACTGAAGCCTACGGAGGAAAGCTTTGGTCATGGCCAACTTTTTACTTTTCATGTGTGTGCCAAAACTACTCAGCCCCCTCATCTATGGCATTAGAGATGAAGTGTTCAGTAAAGGTCTTAAGAAGATGTATTTTGTAATTTGCAGAACTAAAACTGTTGCATATATAAGTAAAAATAAAAGATTTGTTTTGATTGCCCGTTCATGGCCCTATTTTAAATTTCATAGGGATCCAATGATTTGGTATGTACACTACCAATTGCTATGGGGAGGGCTTGCTTTCCCCGCTGGTAACTGGTGATTCCACCATAAATATCCTTATTAAGGCACTTCCTGTTTTTGGGTGACAATGTTCTTTCCTTGCTTACCAGTTGTCCAGTGGATCACTGTTGTCACTATCAGAAAATCATGGGAAATACCGTGGTGCAGTCATAGGAGTGCATATGGACAAGGAGTTTGCTGCAAAGAGGCTTCAGGAGGCCAGATGTGCTGATACGGGAGATTAAAAATTTTATTCACTACCTTGCATCTACCTTAAGTCACGTATAAAGTGCATACAGTGTTCTACAGAGCTTTATTAAAAGCAGTAGACCTTTCAGTGACAACAAAAGTTTAATTCATACACCTGCACTGGGGCCAACTTTGGGAAAGCAAATTACCTATCAATAAAGACTGGGGAAAACTTGGAACACTTAGAAGAAACTTATTAAATGAATGTGTAACTGCATGTAAGTAATAGACATGTGTACACACGGAAATTTTAGTTTCATTTCAGATGCATTCGTTCATTGAAGACTTTCGTTTTGTCATAGTCCTTATGTTGAACCGATTCGTTTTCGGAATGTGTTTTTTGCGTATCTTCGGCATTTGATTCTAAAAATGTTGCAATTCTTTCAAAATATTGCATATTAGTTTTCATTTTTTTTTAAGATATTTTTCAGTATTTTCAGAAATTTGGATTCATTATTCATACTATATATCAAAACTTTTTGATGTTTTTGGATGCCACTGAATAAATTCGGTGGTCCCGATTTTTTTCAAACCTAAAAATACTGTGGAACTGAATTGACTGACTGTGTCCATTACAAATTCAATTTAAATCACAACTTTTCTCAAATCCGAATTATTGAATGAATTAAAAAATTGAATCAATTTCCCCATGGGCCTGAACTACTATCACATCAGGTGATGTCAACCGAAGGAAATGAACGAAACAAGTGCATTCGTTGAATTCGTTAAAACTTTTTTTTTGGTTTCGTTGATAATTTGTTACTTTGTTCAGTCAAAGATTCACATACATCTCAGAAAGTCAAATTTTTGTCCGAAAATCGATTCATAATGAAACACACATGCCTAGTAGGTAATGCTTCTGGAAAGGAGTGCATTCAGGATACCAGCTCTGCAAGGCCACTAAGCCATTATGACGCTACAGGTTTGAAAGCATACAATTATTTTGCCTATATTTGTGTACGGTTTACTGATTGGTTGTGGTAAAAATAGATTAAATATGTAATTATAAAAAAAAAAATGCATAGACCTAAAGTGTATGTGTAGTGCTTACCCCCGAAGGAGCTGATGGATGTGTTTGGGTCCCCTGTTCCTGTGCCCACAATTCTGCAAACAGCATCACACACATTGACACAGCATTTTTCCTAAATCCTAAATCTGCCCTCCTAAAATACAGTTCCTGCCTCCATGCTGCTAAACAAACCTACTTTGTCACTCTAATTATTACCTTGTCATCAAGTCCTCATTGACTCTACTCTACCATTAACTCTCTGCTTGGTCTCCCACCACCTTAACCCACCAAATGTCCAAGGAATTGCCGACCATTTAAAAAAACAAGATTGATGCAATACGCGAAGACACATCCACTATACAGATATCTTCCCCACTTAACACACTTTGTCTAACAGCACAGTCAACACTTTTTTCTTTTGAACTGGCTACTACTGAAGAGGTTCCTATACTTTTCTCAGATGCCCATCTAACCAATTGTCTCCTGGATCTTGTTCCTTCACAACTACTACAGTCACTCTCTTTGCTCTCTCACTCATACTTCAATCTCTTCCTATCTACTGGTACCTTCCCCTCCCCTCTAAAGCATGCACAGATCACTTCCATACTTGAAAAGCCCTCACTGGACCCCACCAATCTGATTAACTTAAGACCTATCTCATCACTCCCATTCACCTCTAAACTTTTAGAACGCTTAGTCTACAATCGTCTTAGCTTCTACTTCACTGAAAACAACTTTCTTGACCCCTTACAGTCTGGCTTTCCCTCGCAGCACTCCACAGAAACTGCCCTACTAAAACTCTAATGATTTATTAACTGCTAAAACCGATGGCCACTGCTTTTATACTCTTACTACTGGACCTCTTTGCGACCTTTGATACTGTTGACCACCCGTTCCTTCTCAATAAACTCCCCTCCGTTGGCCTCCAAGATTCTGCTCTATTCTGGTTCTCCTATCTATGACAGCACTCCTTCAGTGTTACCTATAACTCTGTCTCCTCCTCTCCACTTCCTCTTTCTGTAGGGGTTCCCTAAAGCTCTGTTCTTGGACCCCTTCTCTTCTTTATCTACACACTCCTCTCTTGGTCACGAGATAACCTCCCATGGCTTCCAATACCATCTCTACACTGATGTCACCCAAACACATCTCTTTACTCCTCTCCTCACCCCTTCAGTCTCCTCGCCCATTACTAACTGACATATCAACATGGATGTCACACCACTTCCTTAACTACTTGCCAAACCGCAGATAGCCAAAGATAGCCAGCCAGTTCTGGGAGGGCGTCATATGACGTCCTCCAAGAACGCGCTCTCCGGCGCTCGTGCTCTCTGGCGATCTCCATGATCACTGTGTCCTACAGACACAGCTGATCACGTGATGTGGTAAAAGGCCAATCACAGCGGCCTTTTACCACGTGATCAGCCGTGTCCAATGACACGCTGATCACCGGGAAATGCAATTCCTGGTTCTTGGCTGCACTTTGATAAAAATTTCATATGGGTACAATCTTGCATGACCGTGCAATTGTCAATCAAAGTGCGACAGCGCTGAAAGCTGAAAATTGGCCTGGTAAAGAAGGGGGTATACAGTCAAGTCCATAAAATATTGGGACATCGAATTGTGTCGATGTCCTAATATTTATGGACCTGACTGTAAGTGCCCGGTGGGCAAGTGGTTAAAATAAAATCTGTCTAAAACCAAGCTGATGATATTCCCTCCTGCTCATGCTGTCAGGGCTCCCAGGTGTGATCAGAGGTGTGTGACTGACGCAGGGAAACGCAGACTTCAGATATGTGATAAACAATATAGTTTATTAACACTAACAATACAAACATAAACGCAGTGCAATACTAAACATAATACAGTGCAAACAAACCAAACCAACCACCCACAGATAACAGTACATACAAGCAAGCGTCGTCAGGCAGGCCGGGTCAATATCAATTGGGCAGGTAGGTACAGGGGGAGCAAGCGGAGATTGGTCGGGGTCACAGGCCAGGTTCAGCAGGTAGCTAGCAGCGTAGTACAGAGGGTCAGGCAGAGGGATGGTCAGGGTCACAAGCCAGGGATCAGAACAGGTAGCAGGCAGCGTAGTACAGAGGGTCAGGCAGAGGGATGGTCAGACAAGCCAGGGATCAGAACAGGTAGCAGAGAATCAGACAGGAACAGAGAGCAGGAACAGGATACAGGGCCCAAGAGAAACACAACACCAAGGCAGAGTCTGCAAGTCTGGCCATCCCTTAAATACCCCAGCATAATCAGTTCCAGGTGTTAGCTGGCTGCAAAGTTGAGTCTCTGATTGCTGGGAGCACCCGCTGGCCAGCCCTGGTACTGCAGATCAAAAGGCAGGTGAGTCCCACCATTGCTGGCTAGTCCATTCCTGACAGTACCCCCCCCTCAAGGAGCGGCCTCAGGACGCTCCAAACAGTCCTAGCTGGGCAAAATGTTCCACCGCCCGGTCTGGTAACTGGTGGGATATCAAAGACTGGCACACCGGGCAGGACTCCGGGCAGCGGCACACCGGGCAGGACTCCGGGCAGCGGCACACACCGGGCAGGGGCACACCGGGCAGAGGCACATTGGGCAGAGGCACATCGGGCCGGACTCCGGGCAGAGGCACATCGGATTACCAGGCGAAGCAGCAGGCACCGGGCCACCAGGCGGAGCAGCAGGCATCGGGCCCCCAGGCGGGGCGACAGGCATTGGGCCCCCAGGCGGGGCGACAGGCATCAGGCCCCCAGGAGGGGCGACAGGCATCGGGCCCCCAGGCGGAGCGACAGGTCTCGGGCCCTCAGGCGGAGAGGCGGGCGCCGGACCCCCAGGTGGAGCGACAGGTCTCGGGCCCCCAGGCGGAGCGGCGGGCGCCGGACCCCCAGGTGGAGCGACAGGTCTCGGGCCCCCAGACAAAGCGGCGGGCACCGAGTCACCAGGCACGACAGTGGGCACCGAGTCGTCTGGCAAGACTGCGGGCACCGAGTCGTCTGGCAAGACTGCGGGCACCGAGTCAACTGGCGGAACAGCGGGCATCGAGTCAACTGGCGGAACAGCGGGCATCGAGTCAACTGGCGGGACTGCGGGCACCGAGTCGTCTGGCAAGACTGCGGGCACCGAGTCGTCTGGCGGAACAGCGGGCATCGAGTCAACTGGCAAGACTGCGGGCACCGAGTCGTCTGGCAAGACTGCGGGCACCGAGTCGTCTGGCAAGACTGCGGGCACCGAGTCAACTGGCGGAACAGCGGGCATCGAGTCAACTGGCGGAACAGCGGGCATCGAGTCGTCTGGCAAGACTGCGGGCACCGAGTCGTCTGGCAAGACTGCGGGCACCGAGTCGTCTGGCAAGACTGCGGGCTCAGAGTCAACAGGCACGACAGTGGGCACCGGGTCATCAGGTATCGGATTGTCTGGCTCGACAGCGGGCATCGGGTCACCAGGTATGACAGCGGGCACTGGGTCACCAGGCATCAGGTCATTTGGCTTGCCAGCGGGTACCGCGTCATCTGGCAAGGCAGTGGGCACCGGGTCACCAGGTATGACAGCGGGCTCTGAGTCAATTGGCACGACAGCGGGCACTGGATCAGGTACCGGATCATCTGGATCAACAGCAGGCATCGAGTCAACTGGCCTAATAGGATCGTCGGGCTGGATCAGTTCATCATGCTGAGTAGCGGCATCAGGCTGAATGCAGGCATCAGGCCGAGTAGAGGCATCAGGCTGAAGAGAGGCATCAGGCTGAAGAGAGGCATCAGGCTGAAGAGAGGCATCAGGCTGAAGAGAGGCATCAGCTGAAGAGAGGCATCCGGCTGAAGAGAGGCATCCGGCTGAAGAGAGGCATCCGGCTGAGTAGAGGCTTCAGGCTGAGTAGAGGCTTCAGGCTGAGTAGAGGCTTCAGGCTGAGTCACGGAAGGCAGGTTCACCGGTTTGGATACTGGCAGGATGGTATTGGTTGGAAAGAATTTTCGCTTTTTTTGGTTTTAACTACTGGAGCACTGCAAGTAAACGCAGGTCTGCAAACGAATGGAGCAGCTGGAGACAGAGAAAAACTGGAGGATGGAACAGGAGAGGGAGCAGTTGCTACAGAGGGCTTTTTTACAGGGTTAAAGGCAGGATAGGTGCAGCGAGTGGGAACAGGGTACTGACATGCGGTAGATAGCCAAGTATACTGGGCTGTAACTGGAGGAGCTGGTGGGAATACAGGAGTAGAGTTAGAAGCAGGACTGGGTCTTTGTAAGCTGACTGAGGCTGGGTGCAACAAATCTGTCCATGTCTGCAGTAGGGGTTTGAACAAAGCTGAGCTTACACAAAGCCTGTCTGGTCAATGACTGCACTGCGTTATAACAATCTCTTAGTGTCTGTGGTGAACATGTGGAATAACGCTCCAGAAAGTAACCCACATCATCCTCTAATAACCACACCCAGGGACTCTACCTGGTCGGCACTAAATGGTGGCAAAAATTCATCCTGCATTTGGGGGAACCAGATGAAACCAACTCAGCACAAACCTCAATCAAAGGCTGCACCTCAGAGAACTCTGTGCCCTGATCTACTAGAACATGAGCGAGCCGTATACATTCTAGTAGTTGATCCCTGGGATACTCCTTCAGAGTTTGATAAGCATACTCCCTGTCATCAAACACTAGCAGAGATAAATACACAACCTCATCCAGATCCATCCTTCCCAGCAACAAGTCAAGATGGCTTCCCTGTGCAGCCACTTCTGGTCAGGATTGGCTTGGTGTAATGTCAGGGCTCCCAGGTGTGACCAGAGGTGTGTGACTGACGCAGGGAAACGCAGACTTCAGATATGTGATAAACAATATAGTTTATTAACACTAACAATACAAACATAAACGCAGTGCAATACTAAACATAATACAGTGCAAACAAACCAAACCAACCACCCACAGATAACAGTACATACAAGCAAGCGTCGTCAGGCAGGCCGGGTCAATATCAATTGGGCAGGTAGGTACAGGGGGAGCAAGCGGAGATTGGTCGGGGTCACAGGCCAGGTTCAGCAGGTAGCTAGCAGCGTAGTACAGAGGGTCAGGCAGAGGGATGGTCAGGGTCACAAAGCCAGGGATCAGAACAGGTAGCAGGCAGCGTAGTACAAAGGGTCAGGCAGAGGGATGGTCAGACAAGCCAGGGATCAGAACAGGTAGCAGAGAATCAGACAGGAACAGAGAGCAGGAACAGGATACAGGGCCCAAGAGAAACACAACACCAAGGCAGAGTCTGCAAGTCTTGCCATCCCTTAAATACCCCAGCATAATCAGTTCCAGGTGTTAGCTGGTTGCAAAGTTGAGTCTCTGATTGCTGGGAGCATCCGCTGGCCAGCCCTGGTACTGCAGATCAAAAGGCAGGTGAGTCCCACCATTGCTGGCTAGTCCATTCCTGACACATGCTCTCCTCTATGACTGTTCCATCAAGATTAATAATGAGTCCCTCCCTCACGCAAGGGTACTAGGTGTAATCCTGGACTCTGAGCTGTCCTTTTGGCCCCAAATCCAATTGCTTTCAAAAATGTGTAGACTTCACTTCTGTAACAGCTCTAAAATTCGCCCCTTTTTAACTAATGAAACCACCAAGCTATTCATTCACTCCTTTGTTACCTCCCGCCTTGATTATTGCGACTCCCTTCTCATTAGACCTTCCTCTCCATAGGCTATCCCTTCTTCATTCTATCATGAGTGCTGCTGTCAGACGCATCCACTTTACCAACCGCTCAGTGTCTGCCACCCCTCTCTGCCAATCCCTCCACTGGCTTACGATTGCCCAGCGAATTAAATTCAAACTACTACTAACAACTTACAAAGCCATTCACAACTCTGTCCCAAGCTAAGTCACCAATCCTGTCTCCAAATATCACCAAAAACTGTCCTCTCTGCTCCTCTTAAGATCTCCTGCTCTCAAGCTCCCTTGTCTCGTCTTTCCATGATCATCTCCAGGACTCCTCCAGAGCCTCTCCCATGCTCTAGAACTCTCTACCTCAGTCTGTCCTGCTATTTCCTACTCTGACTGCCTTTAGGCGATCCCTGAAAACTCATCTCTTCAGGGAAGCCTATCAAACATTCAATGAACTGAACTTTTTATCAGTTATAACCTTTTGTACTACTTGCCCCACCCTATTTGATTGAAGCTCTTATGAGCAGGGTGTGACAAACCCAACCAGGACAGGGGGTTTTGAAGGGGACTGCAGGCTAGCCTCTTGCCCACTGCCCTCTTCTTTGGAAGGTGTGTGCCTGGGGACCTTTTGAGTAATTTTACTTTGGATTCAAGTCCATGTGTCAGGGCTCCCAGTAAGACCAGAGATGTGTGAACTGACACAGGGAAACGCAGGCTCAAGTATGGTGTAACAATATAATTTATTAAAGGTTATACACAAATATAACAAAACCAAACCTCCAACTGATAACAGAATGTACACAGACAAGAGCAGTCAGGGCTGGTGAGGTGGAGTGGTCAGGCAGGCCGGGTCAGGAACCATCGGGCAGACAAGACACAAAGGAGCAGGCAGAGTGTAGTCAGACGGGCAGGGTTAGGAACAATCAGGCAGACGAGGTACCAAAGGAGCAGGCTGGGGAGTGGTCCAGGAATAGCCGGGTCAGGACAGGCGGAGTTCATTCAGAGTCAGGAATCAAAGCAGGATCAGGAATCAGGCAGGAAGCAGACAGGATGCAGGTACAGGGGCTCATGGGAAACATACACCAAGGCACTGACTGCAGGTCTGGCCATTCCTTAAAATACACCTCCTGCAATCAGCCTCAGGTGATGGCTGACTGCAGGAGTGAGCTTCTGGTTGCTGAGAGCACCCGCTGGCCAGCCCCTGGTTACTGCAGTAACCCCACGGCAGATGAGTCCCACCACCATTGGCGAGTCCATTCCTGACACTATGTCTCCCCGAACACACAGATTCTAAGAACTGGAGGACTAGGATACAGATTTGGGGCCTCTGTGCACAAACCGGCATTAACTGCTTCAAACCCCTCCTAGACTCAGAGACTCTAAGATTATAATCAGCTCAAACAACCTGATGCTGAGGTCCTCCTGCTGCTATGTGTCAATCTGTAACCCTGTTGTTTATGTCTGTTTAGCTAATCCCCCCTTATGCTGACTTAGTCCTGCCTCAACTTTAACCTCATTATATTAATCAATGTGGGATGTTTTACCCAATGTGTAATATATGATTTTAATTGTTTCATGAGGGGATCTGCCTCCTAATTTTTTAAGTGTATAAAAACCTGTATTTTCTGTCAAATAAAAGCATTCCTTTGGTTTTTACCTTAACATCTTGTCTGGTGTAAAATACTTGGGTTAAAGGGCTGGTAGGTTTGGAAGGCAGGGACTGCATTATTTGGAGGTAGGCCGCTCAGGCAATGTGCCAGGGGCGTCCCTCACACAGGGCCTTTTAACCCTCTTTTATTCTATTGTACTTGTCAACTGTACTGTTCTCCCTTTGTATTGTTAAATAATAATTAATTTCTTTCTCTCTTTGTTACTTCAAATAAACAGTTTAGGGAATATCTTGTAGCGCTTTAATGTTTATTGGGTGTTTGAGTACTATGGATATACCCCAAAAATAATTTTGAACTACTGCCCATGGCCAAAAGATGATTGCAGAATCAATGACACAAATTTAATTTTCACAAAAGTTGCTGCTTCATATGTTTTTATGATCTTTTTGTCAGATGTTATTCCCTCTCTGTATACTGAAGTATTAATTACATCCCTTTCATAAGATTCAAATATTTGCAGTGTTGGACTATTCTTTTTTCAAGACCTCTGCAATTAACCTCGCATGTTGTCAATCAAACATCTGGGCCTCTTCCTGACTGATTGGTACGATAGTCTTGCATAATTAATGCATGGAGTATGCAAGATCTCTGTGTGTACTATGTTGTGTGTGTGTGGGCGGGGTGGTTTCACCTTTCTCTTGAGTAGTGCCACAAGTTCTCAATGGGATTAAAGGGTCTGGGGACATTTCTGGTCATGGACCCCAAAATCTTTCTATGATTTTGTTCCCAAGCCACTTAGTTATCATTTTTGTTTTTGTGGCAAGGTGATTCCGGAATCATGCAGGAAGAAAGGATTGTTCCTGCGGCCGAAACAGCTTCTTGGATGTTGGGAGAAGTGTGCTCTTAAAGGGATGTTTTTGTAGCGGTGGGACTTTTTCGCATTGGCTTTATTTCATCCGTTGACTGTGCTTTAGGCAAAATTGTGAGTGAGTCTCAGGATGCTTTACTGTTGGCATGACACAAATGACTGATGGTCAGCAATCACCTTTTCCCCCCCCCCCCTCCCCCCCCAAATCTACTGACAAAGCTTTGTTTTTTTCCGGATTACCCCACACCAATCGGAAAAGGGCTTAGTTCATCAGAGTAAAATGTTTTCTTTACTTGTGACAGTCATCGAGCAGTCGCCAATCCCTGTTTCCTTTTGCAGATATCATCTGTCCCCTGATGTTTTTTCCATGGAGGAAAAGGTGGATTCCTTTGCTGCCCTTCTTGACACCAGGCCATCCTCCAGAGGTCTTTGCCCTCACTGAGCGTGCAGCATGCACTCATACTGTGCCTGCTGGCAGGACTTACCTGAAAATTAATATTTGTGTCTATGCTCAAAATTCTTTTGGTTTGCTGTAATGGAGCGACACTTTCTTTCACTCTCACTATTCTACTTGCTGTGAAACAAAGCATACAAGCAGGTGAGAACTAGCTCCCAAGAGAACCACCACTGCTGAGTATTTGTCCTTTATAGAAAAAAAATATAATTGGAAATATATTTTAAAAAATATTCTTCCCAAATATATTGACATATATTTGAAATACTACAATTTTGTCCATATTCAATATATTTCCAATATATTTATTTAAAAATAAATATATATATATATATTACTGCATGTTGAATGCGAGTTTTTTATATATTAAACAAAATATAATGAAAAATAGTTTTTGTGGGAAAATATATATTTTTTAAAATATATTCTTCAGCCATTTATCTTTTTAACATATAGAAAAAGTAGATATTACAACATATATTTTTACCATATATTCGAAAATGCCATTCCAAAAAATGTTAGTATTTGTATTTTTAAATGGACATACAGTATATTTTAAAATTAAATGATAAAATAAAAATTCCGATTTTTAAAGTGTAAATAGTTACTTAATAAATATTTTGTAATTTATAAACAGCATTTTTCAATATATTTTTTAGTATAGCATTTGGACATAACATATAAATATATATATATAAATATATATATATTATATACATATACCAATATATATATATATTGAATATATTTAAGAAAATTGTAGTAATTCAAATAAATGTCAATATATTTGGGATAGAATAATTTTTAAATTATCTTTCAAATATATTTTTCTTTCCATGTTGGAATGACTCAGACAGCAGAGATTCTGGGCACTATTCACCAGGATCTCATAGATTAGGTTAATTTTTTCCCCCCCGGGGTAAAAACAAAAAAAAAAAAATAATCTCACAATGCCACAGGATCATCAGTTGCTCCTTCGGACATTCACCACGACATTTCTTCAGTGAGGAAGTAAAACAAACTCACGATTACACAGGACAGCTGGCACTCCACTTCTCTTCCCATTCCACCTTTAACAATTTCTCCAGCCCAAAAAACCCCCACCCACACTTGGCCCCCCAGCTATGCTACAGCGGGGGACTTCGATGACCCTAGGTAGTGTTCCAGCAACTCCCCTAGGATGAAGGGCTCCAGGCGGGTGGCTCCCCGAGGACTGGACCCGGGACCAACAAAACACCCTGCTCCGGGCTCGACAAATTTATGGTCCCCCAGCCACCTACTGGGCCCCTTTCCCCCCGGGTTGGCTGGGCCCCCCCAAAAATCCGATTGCCCCCCTCCCTTTCCCGCAATTGATTCCAAACAATCTGAATGGGGGAGAAATGATCAACCAGCAGTCTGTGAAACACAGCAGGCAAGGGTAATCAATAACTCTCCACGGGCCAGGGAGCCAAACTACTTTTACCTACATCCAAACCTGAACTAGGAGGGTGCACATTATTGAAAACATTTTTTAATAACTTAATTAAGTATTTTTTATATTGTGATCTCTGAATATTTAACATTTGGGATGGGATCTTCTGAAGTTTTGCATTTTTCCGAAATGTAATCTATTTTAGAAAAAATAAAGGATTCAGATGGATTGTTTCCACCTTTTAAATACGTAACAATGCTTTGGTTTTTCATACATTAATGCCCCACTCGTAAAGGAAACCCAAAAAAGACACTTTTATAGGCATGACAGTCTACTAAAAATGTAAAAGGAACCATAAAAGAGTTTTGGAAAGTGAGTGGCCTCATGTCTCCTTGATATAATTATATATATATTTTTAAAAATATTTTTAATATTTTTTTAATAATAAAAATGAAATTTTAAAATATAATATTATTAATGATGTTGAAATGCATTTTAAAATACATGAAAAATATTTTTTTAAAAAAAATATTTTTTAAATAATTTTCAGATTTTTTTAAATAAAAAAAGTAATTTTAACATTTATTTTTACTTTATTTGTAAATCATTCCAAAAATTAGATTTTATTTTTAAAGACATACAGTATATTTGAAAATGTATTTAATATATTTTTTTTACATATTTTGTAAAAAAAAAGCTTTTTCAACATACGTATATATATATTTATTATATTATATATATTTGTGTACAGTGATGGATTTACTTGTCAGCCCAAAACCATCACATCATGAACAAGGGCCCTGTTAGGGGAAGGAGTATTTCAGGTTGGTAAAAAGGGTTTTTTAAACTCAAAAATAGTAAAAAAAAAAAAAACCCCCTTTTGACGATGAGATTTGGGAAAACCCCGGGTATCCTCCAGAAATGGGATGTTTAAATCCTGGGGAAAAGGCGTGAAACTTTTATGGCTTTTTGTTTTCCCCTTTTAAAAAGGAAATAAGTTCCCCCTTTTTTGGGCAGAATTTCCAATTTTAGAATGTGTTTTTCCCCCCAAACCTTTTTCCTTCCTGCCCAGCCATCCGGTAAATAGTTGTTTGGCTAAAAAAAAGAAAAAAGGCCCATCCGGGTTTCAACCTTTAAAAAAAAAAAAGTTATAATCCTTTTCCCAAAAGTTGATCCAGGGGAAAGGAAAAAACCCCAGCAAAGCTTTGATCCAATTTGTCCTGCAGGGGGAAAAATTCCTTCCTAAATCCCCCGAGGGAAATCGGATATTCCCGGGGATCCCCTTTTATACCTATAAAAGTTTTACCGTTATATTCTGTGAAATTCCAAGAAGAATCCAGGATTTTTTTTTTAAACCCCCAACCCACGACCCGGGGCCCAAAAACCAAACTCTTGAGGGGTCTTTTCCCACATTCCCCACAGTCTTTTTGTGAAAAAAATTTTCCCATTTTGGAATTTACATTTTTTTTCCCTCCAGACTAAAGAGCGCCCCCTTTCCTCTGTGATGACCTCGGGGGGGAAAAGCTCTAAAACCGGGTTCACAAAAAAAACCCAACAAATGTATTTTTGCATGATTTTAAAATGCTTTTTTTCTCACTTACCTCATCCACAGGACATTTTTTTTTTTGCACTTTCTTTTGAGATTTGAAAGGATTTTCAGATTCCCATCATTTCCTCTCGATGGTTCCTCAGTGTTGCATCCTGTGGGCCCACCTTCCCCAGAACCCTTTCCTTCCTTGTGGAATAAAAGGATGGGCCACAGTGGCT